CTAGAAAGGAAGAAAGGGTTTCATGTTGGTCAGACATCAGGATGGAGAGTCCATCACGCAGAGGGCCTCAAGTTGTTCTGGACATAGCTAGCTGCTTCCCCTCGTTGCTGAACAGGCCTGCCCTTGATTTTGTCTCCTACCAAGGAAGAAGGGCCACAGCTTGAACTCCAAAATTGGTCTCTTTTGAAGCGACAGGTGATTTGGTGATCCAGCAGATGAGTTTGGGAATTCTGGCCTTGCACTGTGGAGACTGTTTCCTCGAAAGTTTTCCTTCAAGCATGGAGGGAATATTGCTGCTGGCTCAAGTGAAACCTATATTGCCCCAGATTAGGGAACCATCAAACACACCTGTGACTTCTGTTTTTTTTTTTTTTTCTAGGGAATCAACATGCATTTCATGCTTGAAACTGGGCAAAGCACAGAGGTCAATAAGTATCAGATGAAAGGTCCTACTTTGCAAAGTCCCCAGAGGATGGGGACCAGAGAACCCTCTCCTGAGTGTGTTTCTAGGAGTGCCGTGGTTTGAACAGCTTGATGGGAGTGGGGAAGACAGTTGTCCTGTCAGAGACTCTTCTATCAGGGAGACACTGCTCAGACTGAAGGACAGAACTGAAAATGGAAAAAAAGAGATTAAGAGAGTGGGTGAGACCTGTGAGACATAGTGAGGTGCTTGAATAACATCTTGTAGAATCACAAAAACATTCAGATTAGAAGAGACTTCAAGAGATCTCTAGTCCTCCTCCTGGCTCAAAACAGGGCCAACAGTTAGTCTGGATGTTACCCTTTATCTGTAGTGGCCGGGAAAGTGTGGTGCTAAGCAAGTAACCTGCCTGTAGAAAAGGAGTGCTGTCAAAGTATGAATTCCTCATGGTGCTTGTCTGGCAGCACTTGCATGGACGCAGCCTCCCAGTCTGAGTTGCTCAGTTCCCCAGGCAATGCACAAGGGTTGGGGAAATCCTCAGCATCTCGAGCTGACTCTGTGCGTGTTGCCTCTCTGCTGAGGCGCTATATTTGGTGGCAGTGACGTATCGGTCGTGGAGCCAGTACTGTAAGTAGGTTATGGAGCTATCGCTGGAGTAACCACGTCAAGTTGCTGGTCTCCATGTCATTACATGATTCACACGGGCTCTGTGCAGACTAAGCACATAAAGCAGATTACACCCTGTGCGATGTGAGTCTTTCATCTTGTTACAGGAGTTGGTTGTCAACCAACTTGCTACCCAGGCTGTCTGCTGTCAGTGCCCATTCATCTGCTCTGAGGGTGTTGGTGTAAAATGACAGCCCTGCACCACGCGAGGTGATAACTCATCAGTCCTTGAGCATGGGGTAATTTTCTTTCTGCTGATTTTTTTTTTTTTACAGTTTCCTTCAGAGGCAGATGAAGGTACCAGAACTTGACTTATTTTGTGGACAAGAGGCTTCTCGCTACGGGCCTAGAAATGTCCCAAACTTGCGATTTGTGTGTGCTGAATTCGTAATTTTGGGCAAATCAATTCCCCTCCTAGCATGTCTTCCATTTCAAGCTGCAGTGTGACATGTTTCTGGCCATCAAAATGCTGGCATGTCATGGGGCTGATCCCCCCACCAAACAGTACTGTGATATGTTGCTCTGTTTTATTCTGCATAATTCATATTTTTCATGTCCCAGTCACATGTTGGGACCTTCCCAGTCTTGCCTTGGCTTCCTTTCCACGAGTGTTACCTATACATGGCAGGGCCTTTCTGGTGTTCATGCAGCCACAGAGGATGGCAGAGACCACCCGGCTGCGCCTGCTGAGTCCTCGCTGCGAGCTCCGGCTGGGAAGTGATGCCGTTAAATCATGGTACCTCTATCAGCTGCTCCCGCCGCCTATTTATCATCCCCACCCAATTTCATGCCCTTGAGGACGTGTGTTACAGCCACCTATTCTCCCAGCTGAGGTTTCAACTCTTTTTTTTTAAGCACTTTCTACTTAATAATTGGTGCTTTCCTTTCCATAATTGGCTCTAATTAGCCAGAGGGTAACAAGCGTGGCCTCCCCTAGGGCTCCATGATCTTTGGGGCTCCTTTCTTCCTTATTTTATATTTTCTCTCTTTCTTTTTTTGCTTCCTGTTCACCATGCCACACAATTTTTCTCAGGAGCTAATGTCTGATATTGATCTACATAATGAGCCTTTTTGACAGTCTGGGCACATTTGGGAATAATTCCACAAGCATATGAAATCCTTAGGCCAGAACTGCTCGTTCAAAGCTGCTTCCAAATGTAGCCACAATTGTTCAGAAGTGACAGATGAGCAGTAGTTCAGGAGCTGGAAATTACACGAGCCGGGAACAGATTTTTCTTCTTCCTTTCTGGATGGCATGTGACTCATTGAGGATTTGCTTGATGATTTTCTCCTTGTCACAAAACAGACTGTAAACACCAGTCTTCAGTGAAGAAGGCAAGGGATGAAACCTTCGTGGCCCGCAACATGGTAGGAACTCCCCTTTTTTCTCCCCAGCATAAATTGGATGTTTGCTGTGTTTATTCCTTTTGAGGATCCTGGTGAGACCTTAAGCTCCCTGATTTCTTGTGGCAGATGGTTTCTCAGGCTATATATCACAGGGAAAATACTAATTTTGATGGATTTTCCTGTCTTTCCACCTTCCCCTTCAGCCAGGATAGCCAAGGGCTGCGTTGTCCAAAGATCCCTGCCATTTCTGTGGTCTTGACTATCTGCGAGCCAGAACATGCTGTGCCTGCTGCGGGGGCTGGAGTATTTGGGGGACCTAAATGAGTTTGCTACAAAGAGATTTGTATTCTGGGGCTGTCATGTGTGTTTTGCTGCATACAGGGATCTGGAGCAACCGTCACCTCCCCTAGCACTGTTTCTGTGTTTAATCTGTGAAGGCTTCCCAGGAACTTGGAGCCGAGAGGCACAGAATATGCTGTGTGATTAGCGAGAAGCCATGAGCTTGTGCTGGGAATGCAGCTGGCCTCAGCCAACGGGAAAACTTGTGCTGTGAGCAGTCACTGTCTACGGGACCTCCCAGGAAACCCCAAGCGCTGCAGTGATGGCCTGTGTGCGACGCGACTCTCTCCTCCCTCCAGGAACTCGCCTGTCGCAGCTGCCCGGGTGACTCTCTGTGCTTGCTCTGAGCATACACGTGAAATCTGCTACATCCCGAGAGCATCAGGTTTATTGTATGAGCACTGGGCTGTGATTCAGCGTTTGTACAGCAAGTCCTTAGGCAGAGAATGCCTCATGCTTTGAAAATCATTGTAAACCCCCATCTTGCTTAGTAAAACACCATGACTGTTTTCATGAGAATGATTGTGTCTTCCTGAGGCTCATGGGGTGTGTTGGTGTCTTCAGGTGACTGCATGAGTCTCTTTCCATGAGTGCCACCCGAGAAAGGGTGCTCAGTTTGAGTCCAGTCTCTTACCTCACCTGAAATCAAGTCTAAGTGTGTGTGTTTGGGGAGGCCGTGTTCACATGTGTTGGTCTCGGGAAGAGAGGATGGGATTATTGGTAGGCATATGCATAGGGTCTGGTTTTGTTTTGCAGCAGAACTCTTAATTCTGTGATCATCTCTGCACTGAATGAGACTATCCTAAAAAGGTAACATAAGCACCTGGATAACGGCTTCTTACTCTTCTAGCAATAATCTACATGTCCATATTAACCCTCCCTGTCTAAATACTACTAGAGGAGCACTTGGTTCAGCTTCCAGAATGGGCATCTAGTGGTTATTGTTGTCTAAATTGTGTTTTGGATAGGATCTGTGAAGGTGAGGAGCTCAAATATGCCCCATTTCCACTTCAGGTGTGAAAGCTGGTTCCATGTTACGTCTTAGTACAGCTTGAGCACGTTCCTGCTCATGTGGTGGGCAAGTGTCTGGTGTGGGAGTCCTCAGTGTCCTTCAGTAAGAACAGAAGAGTGACCTGGGTGAGGCCAAGACTCCTATCTATACATATGTATGTATGTGCTGTCTTATATAACAATATTTCCCCAATGTATTATCTCTGCTACCTGGAATCAATCTTCATAAGGCAGAATCTGTGTTTACACATTAGCCCCGTGGAGCTGCTATGTGACCAACATCAGGTAGATCAGTTGCTGAGAAAACTCCATGGAAAATGGCAGAATTAAGGGTGTAGAATAACTTGCATGACCTTTGGAAATCCCTTCCAGCCTGTGGCTTTCTGGGTACACACCGAGTCACCTGAAATAGCTGTATTCATGGAGTATGAACTGGAGGCCAGTGTATCCTGGGCTTTCTAGGTGATTAGATAGCTGCGTGAAACTCTAGGACCTCATGATCTAATGTGATTTTTGAATTTATGTGTATTTGCTCAGTCCTCTTTCCTTTTTCTGCTTTGTATTTTGGCTATAGCAATTAAGAATATGTTTTAATAATGCACACAGAACATTTAGTGAACCTCTCATGGTCTCTATCTAAAGGTTCAGTATCTCGACTGAGATATCTGTGAGATTCCTGGATTTGGTCAGAGAAGATTTTCACCTCCTAAGCATACCTTATGTTGAAACTGTCATAAAGTCAGAAAGATTCTGGTGTGATCTCTAGTTCCGCTACACAAACCTCCGAAAATGGAGCATACAGTAGGTGGGGTCAAAAAACTCTTGTCTACTGTTGGTCAGGGTGACATGCAACAGTTTCTAAGTGGTGTTGCTCTTGTGTTCTTGGGTTGTTCTCACCGTGAGCTGTATCGTAAAGGAAATGCCTCTTGGTTATTGGAAGATATAGTTTGTATGGTTTGAAGCCTTGGTGGAAATGAAGGAACAGAGAAAGAAGTATCCTGTCAGCAACAACCAATAGAGTTTGGCTGCTCCTTTTTCCAACCTGACATCTTTTTATCAATAGTGGATTTGTCGAAAGTCTAAATAGATGCTCGTAATTATCCCTTAAGAAAGACTGGGGTGTCTGTGTGGTATGCGAGAGAAAGGCATTGCTGGGAAGACTGGGCATTTTAGAGGACAAGGAATTAATCTCTCCATCTTTCTTTCTCAGGCCCCCTCCATTCTCAGTTTCCTACCTGGAGTGATGGAAAACTCGTCTGTGGCATCTGCCTCCTCCGAGGCAGGGAGTAGCCGTTCTCAGGAAATTGAGGAGCTGGAAAGATTCATTGACAGCTACGTCCTGGAGTACCAAGTCCAAGGCTTGTTGACAGATAAAACAGAGGGGGACGGAGAGAGTGAGAAGACGCAGTCCAACATCTCGCAGGTGAGGGAAGGATGCAATTTGAGACGGGATGCGAAACGAGGGGACTAGAGTTATAGGGAAGCCACCGATTGGGCAACTTTCTTGTCCAGGCAAATATGAGGACTCCAGGTGCTTAGAAAAAAACTCTTGCCACCCAAGTTTGATTTTTCCATTAAATGGCCTGAAGACGTGACCTGAAGTTGTGACTTCTCTGGGGTTCCCATTTCACATAAAGGAAAAAAACTATGGTTGGACCATGCTGTCCTCCCTGGGGTGCACAGAGGTGGCCAACAGCATGTGTGTGAGCACCTCTGGATGCAGGAGGGGGTGAAGAGAGCAGAACCCCTCTTCTTGCCTCCAGTCAGCCCAGTGCTTTGCCAGAAAAAGTACCGGAGGATTTTGCCTGGCTCGGGATGAGTTGCAGGGGCTCTCGTGAGGAATATTCTGTTCTGAGAAGTGCTTCTGCAGGCCTAGTTATGTGCACCACTTTCCGCCACGTACAGAGGCCTTCAGGGATTTTAATAAAAAGACTGAATGAGTAAAAGCAGTCAAAAGCCCCAGATGCTCCCTAACAGCATTTAACTGCTGCGCATTTTGATATGTATAATAACCTGTTTGCTTACTCCATAATTGTTATGTCAGGGAAGAAAATTGCTCCATTGCAGAGGATGTGAATACCAAGCAAGCAAACCATGGGATCGCTTAGGGAGGATGTGGCTTGGTGTTGTCATTAGGAACAGATCCTGTCAGGATCGTGTCATTTTTTTCAAGCAGACATTTGAGGTTCAATGTAAGGAGAAATTTAATCTGCTGATCTGCTGTTGCTCTGAGGAATATCCTGTGAATCTGATGCCAGACACTTGCTGAAGATGCAAATTGTCGAAGTGAAGTGTTACGGAAGGTCTGTCCAGGGTGACCTGTGAGTGCTGCTCCCTGCTGTTTCATGGATTTAGGCTGCCCTGATCCTCCCTCTATAGCATGAGGGCAACAGAGGTGCTTTCCTACCTTGCAGGAATCCTGGCGAAATAAAATAGTCAGGTTATAGAGCACAAGCCATGTTGGTTATGGGGAATAAATAATAAAAAGGCCTTTGTCTGAAAGATCATAGGAGCAAGGATATGTCCATCGTTAGGTGTCTGAAACTGGAACTGCATTTAAGCTACGCCAGGGGCTGCTAAAAGCTCAGTAGCAGAGAAGGATATCGTGCCAGGTCCTGCACAGTCACCAGGGACTGATCCCCTTCCAAAGGGACCCTTCTGGAGGGCTTCCTAAGCCCTGACCATGCTGAGATAAGGCTGATGCTCAGCTGGGTCCTTGGATGGGTATGGCAGTCCTGCGTGAAGCTGCTGCATCACACGCATTTGCAGAGGCCTTCCCTGGCTGATGCAGGCAGAAGGTACATGGAAAATGCATGTTTGGGTCCACATGGCTGTGTCCCCAAGTCCCTGGCAGCCTCGTCACGGGCTGGATAGTGGCATATCAGTCCTGCCATATCCATCCTTCTCTCCCTCCTGGTGGCTCTTGGCTAATGAAGCAATATCCGTGAAGCCTTGGCAGTGCTGAAAAAGCACGGGCGGTTTTTAATAATGGAAGGGATACCGATTCCCGGGAGAGAAGTGAGTCACTTCCCTTTGCCTAGAGATTCTCTCCAGAGGGGGCTCAGGCCGGCGCTTTTTAACACTTTCTAATCATCAAATGCTGCCCGGCTAATTAGGCCGCCACAGCAAAGCTTCGTCTGCAAGGAGTTCGCGACAGGGGGAAGGAGCAGAACCCATCCAGGGATGCTTCTGAGCGGGATTTGACACTGACCCAGTCCCTGCCACCTCATTGTTGTGGGTGCTTTGGTGCTGGGCGAGGATCCCTCCTGCCGGATCAGCTCCACTGCGGAGCCAGGAGTTCATGTTGGCAAAGAGGAGGGAACCGAGCTAGGTAAGCCTCATCAGGGCCATGGCTGGGTGGCTTTGTGTTTTGCACAGACCTTCCTAAATTGTTTCTGAAATTTCTAGGTGATGAATCATGCCCAAATCCTTGCTGTTTCCATACAAGCTGCCAGCTGAAAACTTTGCGGTGCAAAAGCTGCACTTGCAGTTTCTGAAAAACATGCAGCATTGTGCAACAGGAAACACAAGAATTCCAGATTATTTGGGTTTGCTTCAGGTTTTCTTTTTCATTTCATGCTCTGCTCTAGGAGTTCCTACCACCATTTTACCTGTAAATTGGGAGCAGCAGTTGTTATAGTGGGTGGAAGCCAATTTTCCATGAACTCCAGGAAGGGCTCCGGTTCTCCCTTCCACTGCACTGTATTTCAAGTGTGATGGCACTGGAGATCATAAAAGCAAATGTCCCATAGTCGGTCACACAGAAACTTGCTTAAGAGAGACAGGAAAGATTCACTGCTTGTCTGATGTAAGTGGCACTTAGCTGATTTATCTGAGCTATGCAGATTTGCGCTAGCTGAGGATCTGATCCAGAGCTTTGGACCTGTTGTATATTAGCTCTGCCCAGAGAAATTAACCCCAAAAGGAACCTTTTTAAGAATAGAGGTTGCTGAAAAGAGGTCTTTACAAACTGAGGATTAAAGCCATTAGAAAAGAGAAAATATATTTAAAAACCAAGTGATCCAGAGTTCTTCATAGTGCATTTTTTAACCTAAGACTGGGAAATGAGTGTGTTTGAAGTGATACTTCAGAGGGGCTTCAGGTCAAAAGGGCAAGTGCTGCTTGCTTTAATGTGCCAAGTTGAGAAGTGCTGTTAAATTAGAAATAAATTAGTAGACAAAGTCTTACAACCACTTCATGACTCAGAAGAGGCTTAATGCTGGGTGGCAAATTGTTTTAAGGGATGCTTTGTACCTTACCCTAAATTGGTGCAAGCAGCAATCAAAATTCATGTATTTCTGGTTTACTTTTTTTCTGATTGCTTCTTATTAAATAAAAATATAAAGGTGCACATACCCTGCCAGCAGGTGGCACGGGCTGGTGAATTGATTTGCCTGGTTGAAGGCAGCACGTTCGCTTTTAATAAGAGCTGGAGGAAGAAGGATGGTTTATGGTGAAGGCACTGGACTGAGGCAAAGAAAATTGTTTTTAACTGCGCGGTTCTGCCAGCAACTTAATCTTTAACTTCGGGTGAGTTACTTAATCTTTTTGTGGCTCGCTTCCTTGTGACTATACTGATGCTTTCGCTGTCTGGGAGAGGGTAAATCCACTCAGCCATGTGTAATGAGATGCTCGGCTGGAACAGCATCCTAGAGTAACTGCTGCCCGGGGGAAGGAAGGCATGTTATAGAGGCCAGTGTGCTGCAAGCTGCTTGCCGGGCAACTGAGGCTAGAGCTCATGCGATGAAGGTGAAATACAGGCATTGCCCTAACGTGGATGTCTCTAGCCTGGCTCCATCAGAAAGGAGAATCAAGTCAGAGGAAAACTTCATTTTCCTCCCAATTCTGTAACCGTGTGGGCTGTTCATGTAATGGTTGAGCTGCTTCTGTGTGTTGAGAAGTTCTCTGGTGGCTGCTGTTTATATGGAATCAATTTTTCATTTGTTCTTCGTAGTATCACCCAAGCGGTGACTCTCTGCAACACTTACTTAGTCGAGCAGTTCCAGCAGAAAGAGCTCAGTAATAAGGTGGTTGAAAATGTTCAGTCTTGGCTTTGGGAGTAGCAAAAAATTGAACTTTAGATTAGATGGCGTGACAGAATTATTTTGGTGCAAGGTCCTTGCTATCCAACTTTGGAAGAAGTTGTAGGTTGTTTTCAGCAGTTCTCCTCTTTGAAGTGCTGTGCTCTCCTGAGAGGCTCAGCAGCCTGTGGTACTGTAGAGCCAGAAAATCCCATGATATTTGCTTCCTTCGTCGTGACAGAAAACCAACAGGATCTGTAATCAAAACGGGCAGAATGTGCCATTAGGGGCTATGGTTTTTGGTCTCGTTTTGTTTTTTTTGCATAAAACATTACTGTGGAAATAAGTTTTCTATCCTTGGTAAAATTATCTGCAGGTGCTTAGCTGTGGAGGTGGCAGGGGGGGATCTGTGTCCTTGCCTGTTCTGCTGCACAATCCTACATGGTCCTGTTGAGGTGACGCTATGGCAACTTGGGACTGAGACCCGTTACTAATCCCACAGAGTGGGGAGACACAGAAACTGTGCAGGACTCCATGGGAAGCAGTAATCAAGCCAAGCTGGATCTGGGACACGCCGAGCTGGCCATGCCAACCCTAATATATTAAAAACGCTGTTGAAGCCTGCAAGGAAATACTGGGGATGTTTGTACGAGAAGGTTTCCCTAGGATGAGTAAGATGACCGGCTGCTGCTGGTGACGTGCCAGCCAGCTTCTCCCCAGATGTGTCCGTGTAGCCACATGAAGCTTTTGGTGACAACAGCTTCTTTTTTAGCTTCTTGCAGTTATTGCGAGCCTTCCCTCTCCCCCTTGGACCGTTTGGGAGCCAAAGCTGTAGAGATCTGCCGTTGTTTCCCATGGGGGGCTCCCGTGGACACTGTCTCCCATGGCCTTGGAGAGCAGCCTCCCAGCAGTCCAGCTCTTCTTTCACACAATCCTTTCTATCCCTTTTGCAGTGGACGGCGGATTGTAGTGAGCACCTGGATGGCAGCTGTTCCTCGTCGAGAGGGAAGGGCTCCTCATCTCACGAACACAAACAGGTAGGGCTTGTGTCTAGCTCTTGCTCACCGAAGCCTTGGTTCTGTAGCTTTACTGTGTCACCCAGGAGCATGGTGGCTTTCTGGGATGGAGACCCGCTGGGTGTTGCGGTGATTCCTCCTCAAGGAGGCCAAGAGGGGTGTTTAGACTTAGTGAAAGCAAAGCGTGGAGGTTTCAGATTTGCACTCATGAGAAGCAGGACTTCTGGGCTGTATTGGTTTGCATCTGGTTGCATCTTCAGGTTTTGCTGCTTTTGTGCACTCTTTTTTGTGTACTTTTTTTTTTTATTTTAACCACTTAGCCTTTGCATATCAATATTTCATCAAGTACCAACAGGAAGCTTTTCTAGATTTCTAGTGTTCCACGTGCTGGAAAATAGAGAGTAGCTCAAATTTATTGAGCAACCAAATCCATTTCAGAGCTGAGGAGCATCGCTTGATGTGAAGGGAAGCTGGGCAGAAGGAGAAGATTTCTCTCCTGGTCCATCCTGAGTTCATGTTCTGACTCACTGCCCTTCTTGCGTCGCAGTCTGATGCAGATGCTTAGCAAGAGAGCTTTTCCCCGCAGTCTGACATGGAAAACTGCCCCCACTGAAACCATGGGAGATGGAGGACTTCCTGGCGTGCACATTGCTTTGACGAGAAGCTTATTTCTCTGTAATAAAAAAACAAAAATTCAGAGCATTCCCATCAGACCTGAAGAGTTTCTTACTACAACCTGTGTGAGGGAGCAATCTGCAGCATCAAAGCTGAATTGGAACAAGTGAGGAGAATAAAACCCATAGGATAAGACCAGCTTTCTTAATTCCTAAATGTGAAGCTGTTTCTCTGCCAGAGATTAGCTGGAGGTTCCATGCTATGGACTGCAGTGTCCTGGCGGGTGAGTCACGGGGCCTGGCCCTGGGACACTCCTGGGCTCTGCTTCTTGCTCCAGGGAGGTAACGCTAGATAAGCCAAAACGCAGGGATGATAAGAATGCCCCTTCCACCAAGGACAAGGAAGGTGGGAAGAAAGGCACAGCTGGGTGAAGAGCGTGATGAAGACTGGAGGAGGAACTGCAGCCCTGGGAGAGAAAGCAGGGAGATGTGCTTGCAGGGAGCTCTAGTAAATGTGTGTGGGGGGAGGGAGAGAGAGTTCATAGAAACGAGTTAGTACAAAGTGGACCTGTTTTCAAGGTTGCTGGGTGTATCTCCTAGGGAAGGTGGTTAAGGCAAGTGATTTCT